ACTGTTGTCGCTGCGTCCCTTGGCCCGTGGCAGTGTGAGTGACGAATGATGACGTGGTGATTTTCGATGATTTGAATCCGCGAGTAGCCGGCAGACAGCAGAGATACTGCACGCAGCAGCAGCCGAATTGCTACCACTTGCCATCATCACAATGAAATTTTTTTTCTTGCAGTATTTAGATGCTTATTTATATAAAAAAAACATGTTTTTACATCTTTAAATTGTGCGTAGAATACTAACTCATCTTTTTGAAACGGTTTATTTAAAAAAACAATCCATTTAGAACCGGAACCAAGTTTTCAGTTGTCATCATTACCACCACAGGGGTGTCACGTGAAAATATCGCATTCCTGATTGCCTGCTGCCACTTCAAACGTCTCCGAGTTGTCTGAGTGGCTCGTCCGCTTCAAGCCGCACCAAATCTCAGCAATTCGTGTCGATCTAGGGAAAGCTAGGGTACAACCCACTGGCAATCCCGAAATTGCTGGAAAAGTTGCCCTGTCTGAAACGGGCATAAGACACCCTCTTGTCTGGTACAGAGATCATTTAGGAAGGTTCGGGTGTTTAAACGCTCTACTACCGTTTTTACAAATACAACAACTGCAAAAAAAAAAAACATTTCAGAAAGAAAAGTTAAGGAAAGGGAATGTACCATTATGTTCTGTGATGTTTGGTGACAAGACTCGGGACTCTAGCAAGAATGCCGTTACCCTTGGTGTGACCCCATGAGACTGTCTTGCTGCCTTTGCTGGGGTTTATCTGACTGAAGTGCCTGTACGAAAAGTAGAGGGAACATATGTGCGTAACACGCATTATTCACAAGGAAGTTTTTTGACATCCAAAATGACCCATGGACAAAACGAGATGAGGAATTTTTCGGCCACGTTGGCCGAGTTACCTCTCGTGGCCAATGGTTCATTGCAACTTTAATTGTAGTTAACATTTATAGGGTATATTACAAACAAAGTGCAATTTGATTTTGTACGAAACTTCACCACAGAAAACGGCACTCTAATACAGTCTTCTGAGGCACCTCTGAACAAATTCTGGCTTTCATGGTGCCTCCTTCAGATACCTGATGTTGAACGTGAAATATGTGCACCAAGGAAGCAAACAGTGACTTCCAATTAGCCTCAAGCACCAGCGACATGTAGACAAGGAGTGCAATGTGTAGAAGGTCCCCTAGAAGTGTGTAGCCAAGATGAAAATGCAAGATATAACAATATCAGAATAAGATCACATCAAAAAGGCTCCCTTGTAGTGGGACAATCTCCAATCTAGGCACAGTAATGAGTCAACCGACCCACAGCCGCGATTCCCTTTGCGTTGATTGAGGTGAAACATATTGCCAACCGAAAAATAAGACGCGTTTTTTTACGCGTCTTATTTTACATTAAACAACGCGTTTTTTTACACTATTTGTTCTGCGCAGCCGATAGCAGGACAGTTGGGCGGCGTCACAAAAGTTTGACTCACTCGCTAGCCTTTCCCAACCTCATTCGGGGTCAGTCGGCACCATAGATCAGTGGTCGGCATTCGTGGTCTAACCATGAGGAAAAAAGTACGAGCTCAGAGCCGAGCGTCGATCGCGACTTTCGTAAAGAGAAGCGGCAGGTAACACTTCGGCGACTCGTCAGCTTCACACAACGCCTCTTCGAACGAGCCCGTGAATCCAATGCGTCGAACGGTCGCGGCCGCAAGCACGCCGGAAGCAAGAGGGCTGGAGGCTGAATATCCGAAAGAGACGCGGCGCTGGTTTCTACGTCTATTTCGCACATGAGATAACAAGATAGCGAAGCTAGCCTAGTGCGAACACTGACTGGCCTTACACTGGAGTACACCCAGTCGAAATGACGCCTGCAACAGAGCACGGCTAGAGGCTTTCAACAGGGGACACATGCGTTCAAATAAGCTGCGATTTGAAAACTTCATGTCTCCTCTCTGTTCTTCGGTGTTTGCTATGATCCGTGTATACCAAAGCACTCAATGCTGCAAATAATAACATCGTCTATACGTGCATTTTGAAGCGAGTGAAAGTGCATTGGTTTCGCTTGGAGACCACGAGCAAAGAGGGCGACGAACTGTCATCCGTCGGTCTCACCGGGCCGCACAACGAGGGCGCCAGGGCGCCCGCCGCGCAGTGCGCACAGTGCGCATGCTCGGCGGCTCGGCCTAGAGTAACTGTATATGCTACGTTTGCGGAGTAGAGTACCGCAATGGTGCCAATCTGGAGCCGAGCACTGCGGGAAGCCACGGTCGGTCTTTGGAGAGGACAGGAAGGCTCAGACGCGATTCGTCGTGCTGTGGCGTGCTGCGGCGCGCTGCGTAAGGAAAATACTGCGGAGTGCGGCGACGAGCCTCGCATGCGCCGTCATCGTTCTCCCGTTGTTTCCTGTTTCCCTCTCAATTGAAAAACCGCACCCGCGGATTCTGCGGGTCCCGTGTGAAGTGAAATCGTCAAGTCGCTGTTGCCGGGACGCATATACATCGTGAGCCCGCCTCCGGGCAACTTTTAGAGGACCTTTCACCTCGAGTGATCGCAAGACGCAGGAGAACGCAGGCCTGCTTATTTTCCCCTTGTGTTTAATCGAAGAGCGAATGCCACTGCTCAACCTGTGATTTTTTTTTTTTTTTAGCAGACAGTTTATTTGGTTTTTATGAAGACTTAGCAGTGCTTTACCTTCATGCGTCCCACTTATAACCGAATCTGAGGAATGTGGAGCACACGCACTTCCGTGCTAAAATACTGTATAACGTGTTTTTTGTGTTTTTTTTTGTTCAAGTTTTTGTTTTTTCGTGAATTCGAGACGTCCGAATTAGAAGCTCTTGAAGACCGGACTTTTCGCATGTTTTCAAGTTGAGCTAAATTTTTAATTCGCTTGAATCGTGAACATTAGGGGCTCGCGAATAATAATTGTTAAGCGGTGCTCCAAATTTCAGGAGACGCCGCAAGGCGCCGACTGCCTGATATACAAAAAGTCCAGCGACGTTCCACTTTCAATGCGGATGAGTCTTTGAAAATGCAGTCCAATTTGTTGTAGGTCCCAGATTGATGCCGAGACCGGTATATTCCGCACTGAAAACTGGGCGTAGTCTCTGTCTACTTTCAGTCAGTGACAACAACCTACATCTCGTTTCTTTTTGTTTTGAACATTTTACTGAACTTGTTAAACTATTTTACTACCGCCAACATGGTGCCTTGAAGGAATTGCAAACAAGTACAGCACCAACAGTCTCTGGAACATGTTCATTCACACAGCTGCCTACAGCAATCTTTTGGGGTATTGTAAAAGGGCAGTCAATGATTAAAAAAAACATCCATAATACCAAAAATAGCCATTTCAAAACGATGACAGCATAGCACTTTGGAAAAGTGAAGACAAAATGGGCATAAAAGACCGCTATTTGGCAATGCAGTTTTGACAAACACAAAATGCCGTCAGCATTACCAAATCGATGGAAATGGAGAGCTGTAGTAACTAGAAATTGTCAGCGAACCACTTTTGAAGTGTAGTTCGTGGACTATTATAACCCATAATGAAATAAGTTTTCTCTGGTTTAACACAGCAAAAAAAAATCACAACAACACAGACGTTTCGCCACCTACCCGGGTGGCGTCATCAGCGTCTGTTTTGTTGTTATTTTTGCGTTGTATTAAGCCAGAGTAAATTAATTCATTATGAATACTATGGCTTTTCGAGCATATTTGTATTATAATTACGGTTCGGAGTTTTCGGTTCCAACCGATAAAGGTACGCCGAATCCATTTTCGGAAATTCGGTCTTAACCGAAAAAGGTCAGTTTGTAGGTTTGGCATTTTCGGTTTAAACCGATAAAAACCGATAAAAGCGTGTCTAATCCGTTTTCTAAAATAAGGTTTTAATTGAAAAGGTCAGTTGTTTTGGGCCGGGCGAGGTGGGTGGGGGAGGGGGGAGATAGAGAGAGAGAGAGGGGTTTGCTAGGTTCGACATTGTGTGACGTCTTCATGATTGCCCTCTTCGAATGGAAAGAGGCCTTGGATTGGCCTTCGCGGGACATACGGGTCCTAAAAAGAAAGTTCGGATGTGGGCTAGTATAATGTTTTTCGCTTCACGCACTTCAGAGGACATCGAGGAAAGCCGTTAATACCTTCCTCAACACCCTCTCTCAAACTTCGCTGCGATTAAAAGCATAATTACAATGGATTTATTTATTTATTTTGCCATTTTGCTGGGTTCTGTACAGCCATCACCTCAGACGGTCACATCATCAGAATGGGAAGGAAAAAGAAGTGCGCTGAAGATTATGCCCGCAAATTCCGCGATTTTGAGGTGTGCCCTGACGGAAGTTGTAGCGAAGACCACGTATGTATATGTGTTGTTATTCTTTGAGTGATGACAAATATCACAGCTACAATGATTATCTGATCCGGTGTCTCATGGTGTTTGTTTCATATTCACCGAAAACATCCGGTAAACTTTTTTTTGAAATAATTATAGACCAAAAAAAAAAACGAAAATTAAATTTTAAAATAAACACCTAAAAAAGTACGCCGAATTTTGAAAAAATAAAAACCGAAAAAGCAGAATTCTAATTATAATCCAGAAAACATGGTACACTTCTTGGGCTAGTCCAGAGAATGCGGTAACTAGACTACTTGCTTGGTCAATGCACGCATGCCGGCACTTCGTGAGCGACATTTTCCCGACTGCTTAAGCTTGGCCAGCAGCTTTGCGTTCTCTTGCTCGAGAGCAAACCGGAGGCGACACATAAAAAACTGCGCTGCCAGCCGCTCAGCCACATTATGACACATAGGAAATGCAGAGAATGCCGGTGTTTTCCCTGCAATTAGTAGTCTCAGGTCACTGATTCGCTCACACTCTTCAGTAGCCTCTCTTCGTGGGATCTGAAGCAGTGTTCGGCACTTTGTAGTAACTGCACTACACTATCTAATGGAATGAACAAGCATGTCTTGTCTACCTTCACGCAGGATTTGAGAGCGACGGTCCACCAAAGAACCTCTACATATGCGGCACAACTTGTAGTTTCGGGTTACGCTCCTGGAAACATAACGTGAGAGGTGAATTAGGCTTTCCTTTTCTCCCATATAGAGCTGTAACTCCTCCTCCTTGTCATAATCATTCAGGGTCTCTCTATGATCCTCGGCAAGGTCCGTGCGTTTGCACAGAAAGTCTGTAAGGTGTAGGGAGTCATCCACACATACGACCCTCGACAACTGGGTTGGGAAAACTGCGCTGGCACAATTATCCGGAACGCCGACCTGATTTCTCGCGCACAAGGAATTAGGGTCTTTCGACGGATCGTGCTGAACAAGTTTTCAAGTGCATCTTGGCTGAATCTGCTAAAGAAGACACACTTGAAGCCTTTCTCATTAAGGAAGTGGTTGCGCAGATGCAAAGCTGCCTCTGTGGATATGAGCACTCCAGTTTGAACTGGCTTCCACGCGACCTTGGAGAGGTTGTCTAAAATTAGTAGCAAGGAAAGCATTTCCTTGAAGTTTTCCATAAGAAAACCTTCGCCTCATGGGCTTTTTGTGGACAAAAGTCGCTCAGCGAAGTTTTGATTGCTCGAGATGTCATCAGAGTGAACCACCTAAAGACTTCCTCAGAAAACCATGGTGTTGTGAGCGCCTCTTTGGGGAGCTTCTGCAGGCTGACTAGACACCTTATGGCTGCCCCAACGCTGTGGTTTAACAGGGCAAATACTGACGCCATAATCATTTCTTTTTCGAAGTGATTTGGGTTTTCGTCCTTCAGCTTCAGGTTCGGCAGCAACTTCAGCTTGTGTTTTTTGTCAAGCACGCACATCTTCGTGACATCCTCCAATGATACCTAGAAATGAAAATGGGTCGCAACATGAAACGTCGGGTGAAACGAATGGGAAATTCAACCAGTCGCTATTGGCGACGAGATGGTTTGGTGGCACCACCTCGCGGGGAAACTCTTATGACGCAGCTAGTAGGATGTGAGCAGACGAAGCGCTATGTCAAAGCACGGAATACTCTGTTAGTTTGCATACATGCCGATTAAAAACGGTATAGTTAATAAAAGAACATGTCTGACGTTTTTGTGAGTAATCTTTCTAATGACTAACAACACCTCAAAGTTGCTTGTTATATTAAAAAAAAAAAAAAACTCTAAAATGTTTTATAACAAGACTAGAGATGCACAGTGCAGCTTGCGCGGCGTCCCTCAGGGCTATTCACAGCCTCTCTGATTCTTACTTTTTTTGGATCTGTGGAGGTTGATGTGGTAAAAAAGGTTTGGCATTCACCACAGTAAATGACGTGCTGTCCTCTCATCTGTGCACGCAAGCACAGTTGCGTTACAAAGCGGCGCACACATGTTTGAGCTACATTGAGCTTGCCGATACGGACGCTTGTAACTAAGTGTGACTCGGCAGTTGCCGACGAGCAAATGCTCGTCAGAAACTGACGCTTAGCTGCCCCCGTATCGAATATGCGGCAAAGAAGTGTGTCACATCGCGACTTCCGGTCAAATGAAAAGCAGAATTTTTTTATAAGTTCTTATATTGTGGAACATGGCCCGGTAAATCAAGGCGATTGATTAATTCATCCTATCTATAGTTTTCTCAAACTTGTTTACAAATTTAAAATCGCTCGCATCACGCTTTTCGGTCCGCAAAAGTGCACGTACGAACAGTAGTAATTCATAGCAGGTGCATACCTTATTTTTTTGGACGCTGAAATGTCATCAAGTTACTAGATTTAACACTTCGATCGCGGGGGAGTCTAGCATGTTTCACGTCGACTGGGTGAATAAGCAGGGATTTAATTGAAACGACTCAGGTAGCCAGCCACCGCTTTTTTCCTGCTTGTTATTTTGAGGAAATGTTTGTTTATTGGTCTACAAATTAAAAAAGAGAAGGAATCAACTTGGGACTAATAAGAGACCTGCACTCACAGAACACACTGGAACCAACAGCATACACGGGGTCCCTTTTAGTGATGTGTTTAACACACAAGAGAGGTTCTCGAATTTCGCTTTTCTATTTACATTTTGATGAGACATTCCTTTCTCAGCTTTATTTTGTACGAACCATAATAAAAAATAAATCCTATTTGCGGTGGTATACGTTGTAAAGGGGTAAAGCACTGAATATACCATTTTTGTCATTTAGATTTTTGTACTGGGGTCGAGAACAGCACCCCATCATCCTAGCGCTTTGACAGCTCAGTGCCAAAACTGTTTGTTAGCGCGACAGAGCGTGCCACGGTTTCAAGCTTCGGTAAAATGTCCTACTACAAATCTCACTTCAACAAATAAACGAGACGCAAGGAACAGGCTTTGCCGTGCGTTATCCAAACAGCGCATGAAGCAAGCTGACGAGCCGAGGCATCTAAGATCTGCGCGGTCCGTCCGAGTCTGTCGTACGCGTGACTCCACAAACGATGAAGATGATAGCTAGAGAAGTACCCCCTATAGTTCGCACACGCCGCCAATTGTGCGCGTCAGGATCGCCTTTTTTAGAGTGCATGTCTACCGCTTTGCGATTGGGAGAAATTCGGATGTCTTCCATTAGCGCAAGCAAAACTCGCTCCACCGAAATCGGGGGATTCAAGCTGGTTGGGGGTGGTTCGGAGGAATTCCGCTGGTCGTTTTGGGGCGACTTCCTATTTGGCGTTGTTTCCCGGTCATGATTTTGCGCTCTGCTGAGGATATGGCTGCCAGTGATGGGACATCGGCCAAGTCGGTGAATTTTCGTCTTGTGTGTAGGGTTGTTATTCATGGCTACGGCGCTCTAGCTGTGTGTCGCGATGAGAATTCTGCACCTCCTAGAAGAGAGCACCCATCCACCCGTTCGGCAATGTCGTAACGTTGCCCTCTAGACAGCAAAAATGCACGTGTGTTTGTGTTTGTCAACATCGTCGACGGTGGTATTTTTACTCGTGTTCGCGGCCTCGTCGCAACGGAGATCGCACCTTTCTACATGCCTTTATCTTTCTCCGTGCGTGTGCTCAAGTTTAAGCTGTGACTGGTATGTACTGTGTTGAAGTTGCGGACAACGGATACCAATGTTCAGACATTTTCGTCGCCCGAGTAAGGCGAGTTTGTTAGGGCTGGTATGCCAAAACGCTGACTGCGTCTATGTGGGCTGAGAATCGGATCTCGTGTTGATTTGTGGCGGCTAAAATGGCATCCGCTTCTATCATTAGCGGAGAAAATAATGCCTGTGGTGATATTTATGCTCTCGGTCAATTTGTGAAGTGTTCTTGGACGGCGTATCGCTCTCTCGCAATTAGTTCTGCGTTCCCCGCCTTTTGGAAAATAAAAGTAAATAAAGCTTCTGTCCAAACAAAAAGAAGTTATTGTCTGTTGACTTGTTGTTGTGCCACAAAAAGGGCAACGCGCCCCTGGAAGGCATAATAAGGAATCTGATGGCAGCCGAGATCGGCCGTCTACTACCGTGCTTCTCGGGGTCTTATCCGCGTGGGCGAGGGTAGGCCGCTCCGGGAGAAGAGGTCGTCTTTCGCTGGTTGATTAAAAGGTGGGGCTCCTCGCAAGATTCTCATCTCGATCGCAGATTTTGGTCGTCACCCCAAAACGACCTGTGGAATTCCCCATAAGTTATTGTTAAACTTATTTTTTCTATTTAAAATAGAGATTTTGCTTAGGCTGAGTACTCAAAGAGATGGTTTTACCAACCACACTAACCTTGGCTGCTGGTAGGTTGGGGTTTCGAACAGTGGCATTGTCCAGGAAGATTTCCTGCCCACGAACCAGGCGACCCCGCTGGTCTTTCAACAGGTGAGGAACGTCGGGCAGGACGTACAGGCGTCGTCCCCTGTTGCATGGATGAGGGCATGAGACGCTCGATCTCCCATGCTTCGTTGCCATTACGCCACACAACTTCCATATGGCCTGATTTCCAGGCCGCATTGTCGGTCACGATGGCATCCACTTCGATTCCGATCTTTTCGCTTCGTGTGATGATGTCAAACAAGACGTCGCGCAGAGTCGTGGCACAGAATGATGTTTCTGAAACATCAAAAAAGTATGTTTATTATTCACTAAACATTTTAGAAAAAAGGCCATATATGCCCACAATTGATAAAAATACAAAAAGAAATGCATAGTGTTCTTCAAGTAAAATTAGTCTATGGTTGTACATCATCATTTTCGAAAATATCAAGGTTTGTGTCACATGTCAACCCGTTTGCCTCTCATTGTTGATTTTAGAAATGAAAACTGTCTTAGCTATGAAGTGGACAGCAAATGCTTGTGACTGGCAAATAAAAAAAATATGCATCCCTCCTCGCCAAACGGCTGAAAACAAATGCTACAAACTAATGTAGGGTGATGTACAATCGTGAATGAAAGCAAAGAGGCGATTATCGACCACTCCGCACTGGCAGCTGTTGCGGTATGTTGTCCTTTTAGAACGCTTTGCTAACATAGCCAACCCCGCCGAGATAACCAGGCTATAGTTAGAAATTTCCTATGAGATAAAAATGTTCAAACATGGGGCACAAATTTGTATGAGTGCTGTATCAGCGTTCCGCTGGGGCTCATGTTAAATCATCGAGAACAAGAGTCCCAGCCGAACACTGACGCAACACCTATATCTAATATGTGCCCCGTGTCTGACGACCATAGGTGACATCGAAAATTCAGTGGGCTTTGCTATCTCGGTGGTGTTGACTAAGCACAGCAAAGCATGCAATACGAAAAGTAAGCTGCTCCTACCACCACTGCATGATGCTGCTGGACGGCGTGGTCGACAATCGCTGTTCGCCTTCATATCAATTGCTACTGTTCATAACTCTGTACGAACTTAACAACCAGTTTTGTTTTCTGTATAGTAGAAAATACAAGCATCCTGATGTGGATGAATTTGTTATTACACTTATTGGGCCTGCAAAAAATATAGCCTGTCAAGGACAAAAGCAGACGAACGGCAGGCAATGTTTGATGTATGTTAACATACAGCAAACAGGCAACCACCATCTTCAAAGTCTGTGCATATGGTGTGTGCCCTGTTTACTTTCCGAAACCACGAACGTCCTCATGCTCGGCTGTGGAGGCCGCACACTCCGCGAGAAAGAATGAAGAATGCCCCGCACTCTTTCGAGCTCATTAGAAGCTCAAGCACCCAGCTGGATGCTCGAGCTTTGCCGCTGAAAGCACTGCCATTGATGTCACGCCCAGAGTAGGGTTTTGATTTTCTCCGCGTTTAGTATCATTTTAGGTGCAAATGATTTTTATATTCGGATTCACGGAATAAACATATGCTAAAATTTACCTCTAACCTTTTTTTCTTTTCTTTTTTTTCACTAAAATATTGAGCATTAAATGCCACTTTGAAATTACCAATTCCAGGCGATCTCAGGCTGCACGCATGTGAGACAGTCCTTGGAGTCAATGTCGCTCTTAAATCAAAACAACTTGAGCATCATGATGATTCACGTGAGCTAACCTGCTATAAGCTTCATATCTAAGACGACATCCATATAAAGGCTTTTTCGGACATTACGTAGGGGGAAAGAGATTTAGCGGAAAGATGTTATGAAGTACGGTCAAGTGCTGAAAAAACCTTCAGCCTTTCCACTCTCGTGAAGAAGGAAGACCAGCGGAGCTGTACTCGATACACTATGCGCTTCTTTTTCGTCGTCGTCTGTTTTTCGCGCTGTTTCCTACGATGAGCTTCCACCAACGAGCCCAACAATCCGTTCTTCTATTATAGCTGGAAAGGTTGCCGCCGTCTACGAGCGACGGCGGAAACCATACTGGTTGTGTCCTTGCCATCGTCGCTTATAAATCGCGGTAGCTATCCAGGCAAGTTTGCGTCGACATACATGGACACGATCCTGGGGAACCTAGCCCTTAACAGCTCCGCTGTAAAAAATAGGCTCAAATAGTTGGCCTGAACAAATCTGAACAAGCAACAAGCAGCTGTGGTTTCACCAATGCTGGAATAAGTGGAAGTCTCAGAAAATCTGTCAAAATCGGCGGGGAGTTCAAGACACTGTGGCGTTAAGTACTGCTCTCAGAAGAAGACAGTATGATGTGCCCACTCCCGCTTATGCTTCTGACATGCAGCACTTTTAAGAGGTCATAAGAAACAATCTTTGAGCTTTTACTATAACTTCCGGATGACCAGCAGAATCCATACAGGGGGAATTTAAAAGAGAAGTGGTATGCAACCGCTTGCTTCCAGCGGATAGTTAACCCACCCAGCATGAACACCAGTGCATGGGTAGACAAAGGCTCCAATGCTGCTGGAATTGATGTGCCAACCGTTGGGCGGCCTGAAAAAAAAATAACATGACATCACTAATCAAAGCATATTTAAAGGGATTGTCCAATGATAATCGTAAGTAGAGCTGTGAAGTAACTAATTATAAGTTCCAATCTTACTGTAATTAGTATCATTTGCTGTAACTAAATGCTGCTTAAGTAACAATAAGATTTAAGTCACTGCAACTTAGTCATGTTTTGGCATACCTGTTTAAGTCACTTTCCAAAATTCTCAATACTCCGATTCCTCGAAGGAGCTGCTCCCCGAAAACTTTTACGTAGCCCGGCAACAATCAGAACAAATTCTATGGCTGTGAAGTCAAAGTTATGGGCGCTCGTACGCAAGCACGCCTGGAGCGCCGATCAAGAATACGCACACGTGCACTTCACTTCTGAAATTCCACAATAAGTTGACCACACGCTTAGATCGATGGGTGCATACAGGTGTGGCTCGGATTTTGCTAGACATGACGTTGCAAAATGTGAACTGCTGGTAGACCAAACACTTTTCGGGCTTGAACTGACCAAATTTCGATTATGCGGCACCACTACTCGACGGGGTCTGTAAAAGGGAGCCTAAAGAGACGAGATTTGACTGGTAAAATGAGCAAGTCATTGTACTTGCTCACCTTATGCACAAAATTTGCCAGACATGGAAGCTGGAAAAAGGCACTCCAGCCTTCTTCGCTTTTGGCTTGGCAACACCTACAATGTAGTACATTTGTAGGTAGTCACAATATTGAAACCGCAAGCAGTTCACTCGGTCATGACGTGATACCATGAACCTAACGTCCCACTCAAAACTGAAACTTAGTGGTTAAGTGGTACTCAGAAAGCATTGCGGGGTGGCTTGCCGTCAAGAACACTTCCAATTTTCGAAAGGTTTACGAAATGGTAATCTCTCGCAAGCCTTGATCCCATATTGTAGCTCTTTACTCCAAAGTGCTCACTGCACAAACAGGATCCCTTCATGCGAACCCAGGGCTCCCAAAGCACTCCGACAATCCACTGTAGTTTTCCCAGAAAAGTGTGGAAAGTGGCAACCACCTGACAAAAGTTGCCTCCCATTCAAAAAAAGGTCTAGCAGGTGAAGCGCAGCAATGAAGACCACTCTCACGGGAGTGTAAAACCTAAAGGATGCTTTCTTTGCATTATATGACAGCAGAGCCCCTGCTATTGTCAATTTTGGCAACAAAAGAGGCTGCTCATTTGTGAATTCCAGATTGGTTTAAGATTTGATTACACGTTCAAAGACGTGTAAAATAATGAGAGTTTTAGCAGAAGACGTGCTTAAACCAAGGGCCGTGAGACTTAATTGCTATATTTATTTATAAAAGGCGGACCAAATAATAACTTCAATTAAGCGAGTTGTGAAAGTATCTATCCTTCAGCCTGCCAGCCTAGATTGCTGTGCACTAAGTTTAAGTGGAAAAAAAAATGGCAGGCGTAAACAAGTATTTTGTTTATGCCTTTTATAATTTTATTTGTTTGTGCCGTCAGCGTTTCGGTACCCCACAACGTCTAACGTCATCACTGAATGGAAAGCGCCGAATAAACAAGAACGAAGAAGGAAACAGAGACGCTTCATGTCTGTCTCCTTCGTCCTTGTTTATTCGGCGCTTTCCATTCAGTGATGTACCAACTAGCACATTTATATTTTCCAGTGACATGGCAACAAACAATGTCGTACCTCGTCAGCTGCTAATTGGCATTAAGACATCATTTGGGTTATCTTTGTCACACATTTGCACATCTTTTTGCTTTTCACTAGGGTCCTCCTCAGAGCATATCCACGGACGACAGCTTATCTGTTATGAATACGATGGAAGAATTGTAGTCGAGGCCGGGTGTAATATGCATCTCGTCCATGAGTAGACAAGCTTGCCGTTCTTCGGGGCGCATGGACTCCACTTATTGCTTGAGGACGGCTAAGACTTCATCAAGTACCCCTGCGAATCGACCCACATACAATTTCGTATACACATTTTTCTTTTCATTTTAAAAAGGTTATCTGTAAATAATTTTATGTGCTCCATTTGTTGCTTTAGTGTTCTAGGAGCAGGCAAAGAGACCAAGCTTTCTATGATGTGCTCATAGCCTTTGCTTCCACATACCACTTTCGCTGCTAAAGCCTTCTGAAGAGTTGCGTCGGATTAGGAGCTTCCGCTCATTGTTCCTTTCTCCAACGCCCTAATCTGACCTGGAGCAAAGATACGACTTATAGACTCCCGGAGCTTGTCTCTTTTTTTTCCCATTTTTTGGCGTTTCTCCTGTTCAAGGTGTAATATCAGCTCGAGCTTCTTTTCTCGATTCAAGCCACCCTCATTTGTCCCAGAAGTTCCGGCTTGACGTCTATCAGAACATTCCGAAGCATTTTCTGTTTGACGTACACCACAAGATTCTCCAACATTATCTGCAACAAGGAAAGAATGAATTGAGGACACTTAAGTGAACAGAAAAGTAAGCCAACAAAGAGGTGAACAGTATACCTGGAACAAATAATTAGCGTGTGGAAATTTGTGCCGTTGTAAAATACTGAAAAATCTGTTAAAGTGACACTGACAGGTTATTTATGCTCGCCAAGGTTTGCGCATGACATATAAGGGCCGAACTACACAGAAAACAATTCGCGGTTTGAATGTGTTTGCACTCCGACAGAAAATCGACAATCGAGAACCGATTGGTTTGATACGCGCTCAAGCTCCTCTCTGTGGTCATGTGCCGTTTTCAATGGTTTGGACACAACCACCAAATATAATCAAAGAAGTGGGTCACACACACGCATTATTAAAAATTAAAAAAAAAATATTATATTCATTTTGCTAGCTTCTAAAAAGCTGCAAATACGTTCGTTGAAAAATAAGGAAGTTGCATGCAAGCCATTTGACTTTCGGTAACTCCCTCCACCTCTATATTTCTCATTCTTTCCCAGTACAATTTGATTCGTTTCCGGCAGTTGCGTTTTTTACTTTATTAAAAAAATGCGCGACGCTGTAGCAAAATATGGATTGCGCAGTCTTCTGACACCATAATAAATTGCCTAACAAAAAAATGGAGGTGCTAGTGTGTCTTTAAATAGTAAATTAACCCATCAAAGACCTAAACATCGGGCAAAAATAAAAGTTTGGTTATGGGCATTGAATATGAGAGATCAGCACAATCATTTTTCATACAGATGATCGGCCTAGGTGGTGGCGACAAAAATGGGAAGGAGCTGACCACTTCCATGGGATTGGGTCCCTGTTAGTCATGTTTCTCAGCTTACATGTACTGCGGGTGATATACAACAATGCGCAATAAGTAGAGGCACTTCCTTAATACCTGCTTTGTCACTCTTTATGTAAAAAAGATCCAGATTTCAGAAATTCGTAATCGTTGAACAATCGCGTGACTGGCAGCAGTCAGGTTAATTAATTGCTTTAACGGTGGCTTCTGAACAAATATGATTATTCATATAATCACACAATATGCACACAGCATAACAATGTCACCACAAATGAGGTGTTGTCGGTTATTCTTTTTTGGATGTTAGAGCTTCGTTGCCATAATCAAAAATTATAGAGAGGCGGAAGGCAGTTCTTTACGACTCCAAAAGAGCCGGTGCCGTGTTCATATCTGCCGTGTCAAGCAGTGCACTACACTTTCAACTTGCCTGACTCGGGCACTACGGACTCCGACACGATGGCTGAATGAACATCGACTGGAGAAGCAATGTCTGCAGCTGTAAAGGAAAAAAAAATGTGTAGAGAATACTCATGCAGTACCTTAACACAAGACAATTTAGGTTTGGCGTCGCCGTAATCAAACTTTCTGGTGAGACGGAGAGCAGTTCCTCGCCACTCCAACAGAGCCGATGTCGTGTTCAGGTTTGTTGTGTCAAGCAATGCACTATACTTTTAGCTTGCCTATTTGGGGCACTACGGACTCCGACATGATGGCTGAATGAACATCGACTTGAGAAGCAATGTCTGCAGCTGTAAAGGGGAAAAATATTTTGCTGTGAATACTCATGCAGTCCCACAGAAGAAGGCAATTCAACTTTAGTGCTGCACTTGCAACATACATTGTTCGTCTGTGGCAGGATGACAGCTTGGGCTGAGGAGCAGAGATGGGACTGCATTGGGTTTCATTTTACGTCTGCCATTGACTCGATAGGTCTGAAACTCCTTCGATTCAAAATGATCCTGAAATAACACAAGTCATAGGCGCATATGCGCTTTAGTTGTTCCTTCACAGCATCAGTTCGGTTAAAATGCAATGCACAGTCCTAATTATGCGAATTAATTTCGTGCCCCCCCCCCCTACCGTAGGTGGGATAACACACTAAATCTGTCAACACTTTTTTTTTGTTTTTGAATTTAGGAATGGTACAAAACGGTATATTGTTCCCTGCCCCACTGAGCTGCTGTTTCGCTGTGCTTCAGAGTTCAAGCAAGTATGCATGCATTCTTTTCATTTCAGTTAGAGAGCATCATATTCGCCCCCAGTTCACGCCCGCTTACATCTCTCTACTGCATAATACACCAGTAAAAAATTAGGTTCTTGCTAAATTCAGAATCTAAAGTGGAGGGACAAGTCGCAACACTTCGATGGCTGGCTAAACAGGTGGTGGATATGGAGTCATATTGGAGAGCCGACCCATCACTTTCGGACGAGAGCTCGCCGACTCACCAAGCTGGCATGCTTGCTCGCGTGTGCGTGCCCACAAATATAGACATAATCTTTGTGGGTACACAAGCTCTAGCAAGCATCCCGGCGAGGACCACCACACGCACGAATGCGCCAGCCAGTACGCCACTTTAGAAACAAACGTCTCGCACGAGCGTCCTCGGGGAGGGAATATGCTTTCCCCCGAAATTTAAAGAAAATTCAGACCTACCTCGCAAACTCTTGCGTTCTTGGGAGTTGGCGATTTCCTCTTCATACGAAAAAGCCAGACGAGGCGGCGTCTCACATCGTGTCCCGCCGTCGGAATCCGGCAGAAGCTCTTGCCGCTGTCCGCTCCATATTTGCATTTCGTGACACTACAGCCTGTCATTTTCACGGGGCTCTTTCTACGCGCATACAAAATTCATTGCAACGCAGCGGCTGCCGAAAACGCCGTCTCCTCGCTTTCGGATGCGAGCTCGCCGGCTCGCTAAGATGGCCGGATGTGCAGGTCATGCCGGTCGCCTATCGCGTATCACTCCCCGAGAGCCGCAGACGCGAGCTACGCAATCGTCCTCCGTGTCGTCTGCTTCACATACCTTGGAAACGGATGTCCTAAAACATCGCTCGCGTTATAAAAAAAAAAAACAGGATGGTATTGTACCCCAGTTGACGCACATAATGTTCAATGATTTAGGAAGCTTTTGGTTCGTTCGATTTTAGTTTAGGATCTATACACCAACTCATGTTTACAAACAAACTCGCGCGCCCTTAGCGGCACAAGCGGCGGCCGCGCATGCGCGATAGGGTGTGGGCAGAAACCCACGGCGTCCTATGCAAGCAACGCATTGGGGCGTTGTCGACATCGTCTGCTTTCGCTGTTTTCACCTTTTTTACTCGTTTTCGATGACTGTGCGTCCCCGGAGAGATGTTTGACTATATAAGTGGCCTAAGTGAGGCAGAAAAAGTGCGATACAAAGCGAAGCTCTGCGTAAATAGTGTTTCGCATGGCGACCCCTACGGCGTTGACGCCGCAGAATGGACCCTAGCGAGTCGACGGTGGCCACCCGTCACTATGCTGAACATCACTTTGTATTTATTGTTTACGCCGAGCCAATTTACCCCGGAAACCCTGGAGGCCCACAAGTCCTTGGAAGCTTACAATTACTTCGTTTCAGGTAAGCACAGCGGTAGTGAAGAGTGCCTGCCCAATCCAGCTGGTGCAAGTCGAGCGCGGCGGTTTCAAGTCAGAGGCTCAGACTGATACGATAAATTCGTTACTTTCTCGCTACGTAGCGAGATTTGTAAGATTTACGTCAGAAAACAACGAATCTAGCGAAAGGTACGGTATTCTTGCACGTCTGCGGCTACCATTTTCCTGTCATCCGGGCCGCGTTTCGCGCTCGCTGTAACCACAGCCACAAAAAATTCCGTCTGTGGTCTCCGTTGTCGTCTTTTTTTCTTTTCTCACTTAATATCTTTTCGGTTTGAAACCACACTTACAGTATTGCTGCGTGCTTTAAGCGCACAGGCGCTGTCCTTGATCTTGACTTACATTTCTTCTCTGTGTATCTGCGTTTCTCAGCCTTCTGCATCGGCAACGTTCCGCATTTAGGGCCGATTTGTACGGTTAAGTGCCCCTAGCTATTCAGAACAGATTTGGTAGTTCATGCAGTCTCTCATTCTCAGAGATATTTCTTTATTGATCGCCCATTGCGCTCCTGGTACACTGTACCGATCGTGATCGTCAGTCTGCCCAGTATTTCTCCTACAGCTTGTGGAAGCCGGGGATGAAAGACGAGGCAGAGGGCACGTGACAGGCGGTCGGCGGAGAAGACACGAGCTGGCGCGAGACATTGCGTGCTGAGCGAGTCTGGTAGCTGGACAAGGAACGTCGAAGCCAAGCTGCCTGGCCTAGGCCTGGCCTGGCCCATAACGAACCCCGGAGCGGTCAACCAGCGAGGTCTGGAGCAAGACCGGTAGAAACGGCGAGCCCGGGCCATATGACCTGGGCTATGACGATCCCGGGGTGGTTCCGCAGCGAGACTCGGGCATTGATAGCCCGGGACAGCCAGCCTACGCAGCGCTGGCGTGGGAAAGGCGATCCGCAGGCCTGGACACGGACCCCGACCGTGAGCTCTGATCGACGGGCGACAACAAGGGTCGACGGGCCCGGACTACCGGCTCTCGACGACCGGCAACCGAGAGGTACAATAAACCCATTCGCTGTCTTCTCGTTGCTGTATGTCACTCCATGGGTGACGGGCGGTGCGCATACCGATCGGGCGGCGATAATTAGTAGAGGGATCTCCGTAAAGAATCCCACAAGCTGAAAGGCTGTTATCAATATTTTTCAAGCTGCCGCAGTGTCCTTACGTGAAGGATCCACTGAGGTGTACCCTGTGCAAGTAAAGCTTAAAGAAAGGACCAATGTTATATGTGCTTCATGAATCACACATACCCTGCACATGTGCATACTATGCAGTACAGCATGCTTGCAAACACTTGCCAGTGCAAGGCTGGTCTCGATATTTTTCTTAAACATAGGCTGCCATAGCCAGTGTGGTCATTGCAGAATAACGGCTGATCTCAAAACAAATGATACACTTTGTAAGGATTTAGTTAAACGACATGTATTGGCTTTGCACTGTTGTCCAGGCCATGTGAAGGACGTCAGACTCTGGCAGCCTGACGGACACGACACATGCTTCGTTCGTGCAAATGTGAGACCGTCACAGAGGGCAAATGGCCCGCCTCATGATGCTTGGGTGTGCCTGGACAACTCTTCAGGACGGGTACATTCTGGCCACTGCACATGCAAAGCTGGGTAAGTTCTTCCATAACCTCACCTGTAACAGCATTGATCCCAAGAATCGGATATAAATAAACAATCATTTTTTCCTTCCACTCTGGGTGCGGTGTGCAGCCACATTGCAGCAGTCTTGTTTGGTATTGAGTACAGTTCAAGACTGTGTCAAGGGGCCTCATCATGCACCTCCGAACCTTGTGCATGAACCAGGAGTGTGACAAAGAAAGTATGCTCTATCCCCGATATATTTTGCATCTAACTAGTGTCATACAATATTTTCAGAACTCGTGGAAATTATTTTCCTTCTTTTTTTTCTTTTCTTACCTTTTGCACGGTGCTGAAATGTACTATGATTTGCATAGTCCCATCAAAAAAATTGAATCAAGACATTTCTTTTTTATTAGTACGCTATTATCAATTGGCTGTCATGACGTAAAACATCCCCCTTCTAATGTGCAAGCTTAGGAGATCACAATCAGTATGCACCAGCAGTACGCCGCTTGTGCACCTGACCCTTATCCACACATTTCGTGGATAGTGGTCGGATACCTGCATATTTAGACTCGCACAGCCACATCCTTTGTTCTTTCAATTAAATTCTTTATCATGAGTGGATATCCAAGCATAAAGTATGCCTATTCAGATCTCTACTCAGGGGCAGTTTTGTATGGAAGGGCGTTCCTGGAACACGTTCCTTTTAGGAGGAACCAAGGAACGTCGCCGTTCCATTTTTCTTCTGTGGAACTGGAACGGGAACTCGTTACCTTTTTACTAAAATAAAAAAAAGAACGGCATTTTTTTTTCGTCGTCCAGTGGGCTAATTTGTATTTTATTTCTAAGAGGGAAATTCTAGAAATATAAAAACAATACCTTTTTGAAGAGCAGGATCTCGTTAAATTTTTGGTTACTTATCTCAACGTTTATTTTCGGGGTCCTCGCTTGGTAACAGTCGGGTGCAGGAGAGCTAGTGGACATTGCTTATTTTTTCAGCGCCCGAGATTGCGGTTCATAAAGCAAAATTTGTCGTCGAAGGAAAAGACACAGAAAGAGGGACGTTTCAGATTTAGCTACATTGTTTGCAAACAAGAATCCTCATACACCCAGAACTCTAAGGCCGACTACAGCCATTACTGAACTTCCACAGACCTAGAGTTACAACAAAAGAACAGGTTACCTGACATCGAACGCACTGTTTTAACCTAAATATTGGTCACTTAAATGATACAAAAAAAATCTTACTTTCTTCTCCCCTTGTTCCACACCTTGAAACTGAACAACGAATCCAACTTTCACGAAGAAACCTTGTAGTTTTCAAGACTGACCTTCAAAAGCCCTAGCCTCTTCTTCACTTCTTGTCTTGTGGACACCAACATCAAGAAGCAACTGTTAAATTCGAACAAAAGACTTTGTTAGATTGAAATGTGGGACATTGTTGTAAAAGGCTCGTGCAATATGGGGTAACAGTACATTTGGCTCGTCTGAATCGACCACCACAAAAGATGTTAAAAAGCCGAGATTTTTAATGGTGAAACAATCAACAAATGAAACACTGCTTTCGCGTGTCTTCTTCTCCTGGTGCCCTTCCCTCACTGCATTCAAATTCGTATTTTGCCATTTGATGGGATAGAGTAAAACAATTTTGCTTGATCTAACTCAATATGGTAAATACAGTTAGGGCGCAGGCGAGCTGGTGTAAGTTTACCATATTTTAGACCACCTGAGACTGGGTGGAAGAAACACTAAGACGTCTCAAAGACGTCGTCCTGTTTCTCCCACCCAGTCTCAGGTGGTCTAAAAATGGTCAATATGGTAATCAGAAAAATGCAAATGTAACGTATATGTAATGATGCGTTCCATTTTTTTAACTGTAACGGGAGCGAGTTCCTTTTCACATATAAAACTTCTAACGGGGACACGTTCCAAAAATTAGAAGGAACAAACTTTCATTCCTTTTTTAGTGGAACATGTACAACACTGTTCAGGGGTTGTGCTGCTCTATCTGAAAAAAAAAATGTTTGTGACTGCACTAGAAATTCAGAGGCAGCCAGATGCAAGAAATTACTTTGCAATCTTAGCACTGTTTTGTCACACCAAACCTCCTTTTCACTTGTGGGGCTTTTTAAAGCAAGTGCGGTGCAAATCCGACTGTCACCCCTGCAGGAAGACATGGTCCCCGTGCACAAGCTGGACTTAAGTGAGCCCGGGATGCCAAGCAGGCGCCTTCCTGATGAGCCCAACCATGTGGCTCATGACTAGAACCCCGACGACAGGGCCCTCTTCCGGGAGATTCTGAGACTGATCCCAAAAGCGGTCGTCCTCAGGTCTGTACCTAACATGGACGACGAGGACACAGATTCGGCATCTGAAGACGAGCAGTCGTACATATTTTTAAGGCAAGTTAAATGCTTGTTCCCGTTATTAAATATCTCATCAACAGAACTAGCTTACAATAGCTATGTTTCCTGAGGCATAGGACAGCATGGACTGTGATGAGCAATTTCACAATTTATAACACAGTTGAGTTGTTTTGACATCTGTATCCTATCGGGCCGAGCAGTCGCGTCTTCGGCCAGTGTGCTTTT